ATATATATATATATATATACACATATAAATTAGTAATTTATTACTATTACAAACTATATTATACAGAAACACCTATAGAAAACTAATAGGTTTATACAAATAAAAAAATTGATTTATCCTTTCATTTTATTTTCAAGAGAAAAAAAGACATTATTTTATTTTGTATTAATATACGACTTGTTAGTTTATTGTATAAGTAGCATAGAATACTGAATGAATCACAAAACCTAAGAGGAATTTAAACTCTGTTAAAACATTTTAAGCATTTAGTATTAGTTATTTTGATTTTTTTTTTTAAATATTATTGTGATGATCTCAATAGATTACTAAAGGCTGTTTCACTTTTAGAAATATAATACAAATATTTTTAAGAAAATAAATGACTGTTGAAAATCAACCAGACTGTGAAAAGTTATCTCATGAAGCTCCATAATTTCATATTAAAATATCAAAAGCTGTTCAGTAACAATGTATTCAGTTATTTTAAATTACTAGAAAATTAGTAAAACCATAACTTCATAGTAATGCTAAGAAAAAAGCAAAACAACATCAGAGAACAATGGCCAGTTAGCTTTAAATTACTTTACAATGAACACTTTAGAGTATTCAAAGGGTTTAATAGACAGATAATTGAGGATTAATGTCTTCAATGAAAGTAGTTAACATAAATCAAAGCGTGTTAAGCCTATAATTAATGTTTTTTGGTTAATCTATATATTTATTATCCAATAATATTTCTTTTATAACTTTTAATTACTATATCTTATTTTCTTTTAATAATAACTAATGTATCGTACTTGAAATACCAGTATAGTATCATAAGGTATGTTTTTATAATCATACAAGAACAAATTTATAATTTTAGGGTGAATAGTAAAATCTTAGTAACTTTTGTAAAAAGGTTGTACCTTATTTTAACCCTCTTATATAAATATTGGCACTAGCAAAAAAATATAAATGTTGGGTTATATTTGATCAGTTGCTTCATAACTGCAATTTTCGAATCAGAGAAACAATAATGTACAAATATTAACATTTATTCTCTTTCAAGAAGAGCCTGGTCAGATATATGGCTTAAGAAGTCACAAAAAAAAAAATTGCTTGGTGACCTACAATGTAGATCAAGATATAAGCAATCACAGTCCCACTTATTAATGTGTTTGATTTCTTTGAGAGCACACTCCCCTCCCAACTTCTTAAATTAGATCTATAGTCAACAATATCCATACCAACATTTATTCTTGTTTATTAAACTTCCAAAAAAAAGATATAATTATATATATATATATATATATATATATATATATATATATATATTTATATTGTTTTTCAAATTGCCAATTGAATTTCCACATATTTCATGGACTGCAGGATATCATTATTGCTGACAATAATGATGGAACTCTGACAACTGAAAATTGTATCAGACTGGAAATCTGAAACAATTTTCTGAGTTAAGAACATAATTAATAACAGGCACCAAATATAATGATAATTGGTTTAAACTTTGGTCATGAAATGGATTCAATCCTATCATTTCATTTATAGAAGAGGGTTAAGTAAGAATGATACATGTTAATTATGAACAATAACATATTAATTTGATTATATTATATCATTAGGTGTAAGTAAATAGATAAAACTATTCTTTACCACTGTAAAGAAAAAATGAAAAAAAAATTTAACGAGTGTCCTCAAACAATAAATTAAGTAATAACATTCTTCAGAAATGATTCAAAGAGTAATTGATTGAGCATTAAAATAATTGTTTATTGACACATTAGGTCAAGTTGGCATTTTTAAACTGCTCATTAAAAATATTCATTATAATTTTGTTTTTAATTCTCACAGCCAGGAGCTATTCACTATCAATTGATTACATTAAAATATTTTTAAGTAGATATAATTTAATGAAACCAATTAATAGTGAATAGCTCCTGTCTGAGGTAATTAAAAATGTTATAATGAAAAATTCATAATGAACAACAACAGGAGCCATAAAGATAAAGGTGAAAAAGTTGATGTTCATACATTAATATTTTGATGTGAGGAAATTATTACCCAAAACATCAACCTGAAAATGTTATATTGAAGAAATAGAAAAGTTTAAAGGAAGTTTAGAATTGCCAACTTGGCCAATAGAAAACTGTAGCTTAGTCAAATTAAACCAAGAAGTAATAAAGCATATGATAATAAACCGTAACCAACTTTAAATTCATGCCAATGTCCATGTGATTTAATATAAATATATTATATTACAATATTTATCATGCTACTTTATGATCATAACACAAAAATTATATGATTAGACGACAATATTCAAACATATCACGTAAATTAATCTTGATTTAATTATCATTAAGAAAACTGATGGCTGAAATTTAATTTTGTAGTGTATTATGCCTCTAAATTAATAAAGTATGTTATTTATCTAATAAAACCTTGTCGTAACTTTTAAGGGAGAGCCATTTCGGTAGTGAATTCATCATGCAAATTATGATTTCCTATCATTACACCAAATCAATTATGAAATGAATTTAATTTTATAAGCATGCAAAGATTAAGAAAAATAATTCATGCAGTTATTAAAGATGATCGAAATCAAAAACATTAATTGATGATTCAAAGAAAACACAACTATGTTCATCTCAGTTTCATATACAGACACAGAGTCACAGATACACTCACACACACACACACACACACACACACACACACACACACACACACGCGCGCACGCACGCACGCTCTCGCACCCACATACACACACACGCACTTGCACCCACATACACACACACGCACCCACATACACACACACAAACACCCACCCACATACATACACACAGATATGTGTTTGAATTAATAGTTAAATAAACAGCTATAATTTACCAGTATATACAAAATACATTTTACACACAGCTGTAGTTATTTTATTAACAACAGAGATTGATTATTACAATAGAGAATATCATGCAGCTATTACAAATGCAGAGAAACAGGAGAAAAAAAGAAATAAAATAAGACTGATCAAAGCACAAAAAAAAAAAAAAAAAATACATAAAATAAATAATAACAAAAAAATTTGCTTATTTAATTATATTTTAATTAATTTTAATATACATAACCATACTCAACAGAAATAAATATATTTTTATTCTGTAGGGTATTAGTAATACAAATTAAACACATTCACAAATAAATAATATCAAGAGAAAAGAAGATGTTATCACATTCAAAACATATTTAATTGTGTCAATAATTTATTAGACTGATATAAATTGATAGTGTTTTTTTTTCAGTAATAAGAAATATTAATAAATGGAATATATAATAGTTAACAAGTGTAAAAAACATGTTTTTGTTCCGGGGCATAAAGAATCTATAAATAAATGATTGAAATTACACTATTTTTAAAAAGAGCATAATAAAAAATAAAATATTTAAAAGTACATTCAAGGTAAAGTAGCATTTGTATTTCAATAAGACTGTTCCTTAATAAAGTGATTCAGGCAAAAAAAAAAAAAAAAAAAGATTTTGGTGTATTCCTGAAAAGTTTTAATATGATAAAAAAAATTACATTATCGCTAGCAGATGAAATGACAGTATTCACTAAACTAAAAATAACCCAGCTCAACAAAAAAAAATTAATTAATCCAATTTATTTTATTAATTTTACATCAATTATAAACATGTTATCATGAAAGCATAATATACTGAAAGAAAGTGAAGGGAGACTTGGAAATATTGTGTTCCATAGAAACATTTACACATGAACCAAATGAAAGAAATAATTCCATTTAACTAGGAGCACTATCAAAATTTAAATATTGGATGTTAGAAATAGAGCTTAGAAAATAAATAACTGTTTAACAATACTTTGATTGTTTCTTCTGATTAGAAAGTTTATAGTGATCAGATAGTAATATCATAAGTATGAGCAAATTGATAAAAAATATAGCAATAATTATAATGCAAAAAATATAACCAAATTATTTTATTCAATGAGAAAATATAATTCATTAAGAGATCCTATAGTTCAAGTTAACATTTTATCCAATAAAAGCCTATTAATAGGCACTTTCACGCCAAGTTTTGTTGACTGGTGGTAGTCAATCAATTGGTTTATGTTAGTCAACAATTATTCTTCTTATATAATTTATGACCCTAACTCAGTTATTAGTAAAAGGTAACGTCAACTGTAAAAAGTAGATAAAGTGCTAAAATGAAACATCCTGTATATATGTAATGATTATTATCATGCAACAATTATTTTCAAATTCAATAATAAAGTTACCGATTCGACTGATGAACAAAAAAAATAAATGAATGTATATGTGTGTTTTCCCTGGGACTTGAGATTAAACAATTCAAGGATCAATATGAATATTAAGATGTACATTAAACAAACATTTTGTGAACAGTACTTTAAAATACCAACCATTTCATGGCTAATAATCCAGAAGAAATCATTAATTTAATTTAGAGTATTAAATATAATTCTTATAGAAACCATAAAAAAAAAATATATATATATAATTAATTTGTTACACTTACTGATATTTATTCAATCATTTTTAAAACAATTTAAGGCTGTGTAAATTGAATAATAGAAGAAAAAAAATTAAAATTAAGAAACAGGGCACATGAAAAATTCAGAAAATAGTTAAAATAGTATTTAGATATTTTAACTTTTTCAATTTAACTAAGAAAAGTAGAAAACAAATAAGTTAGAAATTCCACAACCAAGTATCAAAATAATTAAACATTGAAAAAAATAAATAAATAGGTATAAGAAAATAAAGATACAAAATATAAATAATAACGATTTATAAAAATTATTTATGAGAATTACAAATAATTATTTTCCCATTTGTAGGATTATGCAAAGATTCTAAGAAATTAGTTGTACTGGTTTTTCCCCTTCATCATTATTATTTTAAGGGTGCTTTACACATGCTTAATACAGATTATTAAATGTTTTATTGAACACAAATACTAACCTCTGTAAACCTTTGTTTATGGCTAGCATGGTCTTGCCAGTGCTAAAACAAAATACACAAAGAAACAATAAGAAAATGAAATCAAAAATTGAAAAACATAAATAATCTTTTAATACTAAAATAAGAAATGGCTAAATAAAAAATAAATAAATAAATAAATAAAATTCCTCTGATGTGTTATGTGTTAGTAAAAAACAAAGGATATTCTCTTTCAAACAAAAATAAGTTATTGAATAAAAAAAAAAATAATAATAATGAGTATCAATTCATATTCAATTCTAATTTTGAAACAGTCACCCACACAAAAAATAATCCATTTCCCATATTTTTTATTTAATAAGCAATTTTATTATTATTCATGCAGCCATATCTAATAATAATAACAAACATGCAAAATAAATTAATATAATATAATGAGTTCACCACCTCCAGGTATGGCTTTGGCTAAATATACATAAGTAAATAATTATATAAAGGTTTTGTTTACTATATGTCTATAATATATCTGTAAGTGTCATTATAAACCAAACATAGTCATTACTTTTATTTTTTTACAATATGTACAAAAAAAATTTGCAGTAATAATCTATCAATCTAAGTATAAATATATTTGCAGAAATTATCCTCATCTATCGAAAATTAACAAAGATATTTTCCAAATTACTTTCAAGATTCAAGACTTCACAGCTATTATGGAGTTTTTATAAATAAATCAATGGTCAGATTAGGCAGTAAACCAATATATTATACACTACAAAAAGTTTCCTTTTTTTCTCCTTTAAATAGATAATTGTATTACTAATGAAATAATAATATTTTTAAATGGATCAACCACATAAACACACACATATTTACTTATAAAGAAGTTAAAATTATTATGTAGTTTTAAAAATTGCTTCTATGGAACTTACAATGAATCTATATCTGTTTTGTTACAATGAAACTATGAATAACTAATTGTAAAAATATTAAAAAATCAATAGAATAAAGGATTAAACATCTTTAATTTTTAGGTAAATGATTATTTTTTCACAATGTAAAGAAAAGGTAGTTTATAAGTTATTTCCGAAAATGTACAAGAAAATGATAAATATGAAATGTAATTAAGATGCTGCAATAAAGAAACATGATCTATGACCTAGGTTTTCTCCTAAAATGGATTCACAGAATATTTCTTTTTATAAAAAAATAAAATAAAAAATCATCATAACATAAAATACTGTTTAATAATGTAATTTAAAAAAGTTTGTTCATCAATAGAACACAGAATTCTAGATAAAACAGATAGGCATCATAGAACAATTAAATTGCTTTTCACACAGTCATCATTGAAATAATTGGCATAACTGGGTCCTAACATAGTACTTACCAAGAAGGATACATACTTATATCTATATACTATACTAAATTCATTTCTAAGTAATATGAAGCATTTGGGTTTCTAAAACCTTTAGCTATTATTAGTATCAATGTCAAACACTTGGTTCATTAGATTACCCATACGTTTAAAAAAAAAAGTATAACAATTGATCATTTTTTAATTTAAATTAGTAATGAAAACTATCTATTTAGTAGTTTAAAATTCCCATGATATAAAAAACCAAGATAAGATACATATTTTTTCTGGCTTTGAATATATATAAATATCTACGTTTACTATTGAATTGAAAAATTAATTTATCAAAATCTATGACTTTAAAAACCAAAAAAAGAAATACAAATAAACATAAACTAAAAGTGAACACAAGTTTTAATCATACATCAATTCTTTCCGATTGAATACTTGATGGTTGACCGTTGTATATCATTAAGGAATGAGATGGTAAAGGGTGGGGGTCATAAAAAGAATTAAAATAGTGAAATAAAATACAGGCTTGAAATAAAATAGTTTTTCACTATTTTAGTATATTACTATACTAATACAGTGTAGTGATATACTATTTTAGTATTTCATAAAATTGAGGCTTGAAATAAAATATTTTTTTCCCCACAATTTTAAGTCTTTTTATGACCTTTACCCTGGACTATCTTCTTCCCCATCGATTCTTTCCACAGTAAATTTAATATATTAATGACAATTGTAGAACAGGAAACCTTTTTAATTATAAGAGATTTTTGAAAATTATTAGTTTCTTTAAGAACAAATACAATGGATAAAATTATCCAGGAATTTTACTTAAAAGAACAATTAGAGTAACAGTATTGATTAGAAGTTGGATGGGGGTCAAAGAAGAAAACACAGGTAAGTATAAAATCCTTGAATTACATCTAACAAATCAAGTTCAATAATAATTTCAGACTCTAAATGAGCACATTTCTTTAGTAATAGGTTAAAAAGATTATTACCATAAATTAGTGTGATAATTGCACATGGGATGACAATAGTCAAAATCAAGGGGGAAAATAAAAAATAAAATTCAGGCCAATATACGACTCTTAGTTTTCTTGAATTGTTTCGCAGTAAGAAAAAAAAATAATATGAAAAAAATCTACTGTTTTCTAATTCTAATAATGTTGGAAGTACATGTGTTGTGGGATGGTTATGATAGTGATAAGAAATTTAGTAGTCTGCTCAGGGATATCCTTCTGTAAGTAAATATAAGTAGTTTTCAATTTTTTTGTGCGAGAATATCATCATTATTTTTTCCAAGTTCATCAATTATGAATGATTTTAGAGATCAAAATTTCGGGTTTATTGAAAGTTCTCACCATAGATTTAATAAAATCTTTGGGACTGGGTGATTAGATGGAAGAAATAGTTAGGCATACCACATCAGAAAGAAAATATAGCCAGTATGACAGCACCTTTTATATTTCTCATTATACAAATATCAGATAAAAACAAAGTTGAGTACTTGATTGGGCAAGCAAAGATCATGTGTGTGAGGACAACAAAGATCCTGTTAAAATTGCTTAAAAAATAGCAGCTTAATTTATTTTCTCGCAATTAAAAAACAAAACAATAATAACGAAATAAAGAAGAACGTCATCCACCTAAAGAGGAGAGAAGAGAAAGGATGGGATTCAACAAGAATGGATTTCCCGATGGTTTCTTTCATTTCTGTACTATTTTAATTTATATAAGTACATAACATATTCTGAAAGTTGTAAGGCCTTCCCTGTTTCAAAATAATATTTTATTTTTTAGGACATCAATATGTCAATTAATAAAAATTAAAAAAATGTCTCCTTTACCCAAATAGATTTAAATTAGCATGAAAAAAAGATTTGATAATTCTTACTCAAAGCATAGTGATACAATAGGTATATTTACTTCCTCACTTGTACGGTTTTTCATAAAATTGTTAATCTCATTCGTTAACCCAGTCTTTTAAAATTATGAATGAATTCTAATTTATGTTCAGGGCAAAAGGTGTCTACAATTTATAAATTAAAAATCAAAACAAAATGAGAAAACAATTATTACCTTCAGAAAAAAGCAACAACAAAATAATTGTTTTGGAAACTAAAGAATATTGAAGTTAAATAATGGATTTTCCCCATTAACCATTCTGTGGTCTTGTGTACAATTACAATGATAAATTTTGTTATTAAATCAACAACTAGTCCTAAAAAATTATAATTTTGCCACAAATTAAATCTAGATGAGAGAAAATAGGGCATACCTTGAGACTCAGATGGTGAGCATCTAACTTTCACTTTGATTTATAAAAAAAAATATAAAACTATAATTACAGTCATGATTCATCATGCAATAGGGCTAATATTAGATCGCAAAGTACTTATTTATTCAGCAAGTATTTATTCAAGATTATTAAATATTCTGGTAAGTTTTTCACTTCCTTCTGTTCTTATAATGTACAAGGTCTAAATCAACCTAAACTAACTTCAAAATTTATATTACCTTTTTTGTACAACAATTTCACACAATGGCGTCTCTTGAAAAATAAAACTCTTTACTTTTATTTTCTTTAATGGATTCAAAAACTACTTTATCTGTTTAAAAGAGAAAATCACAATTAAAGAACCTTATTAAAATAAGAATAATAATACTAACTGATGGTGGATATTATTATAAATAAATACAAACTTTAATAAGTACGCCATCCCAAATCACCCTTATCAAGTATTCAAGATAATAGTCTGTGGTAAAGAACCTTTTTTACCAAATTATTAACATGCATCTAAACCTTGGTGAATGGCTTTATCTTATCGTATCCTAAAACTTTTTTATCTATGAAAACGATCAGTAGATAAATTGAATTAGGTACTAAATATTCAATTGCTTTTCATCTGAATTATAAAATAATTTGATCACAAAATAGGGTTGCTTGGCCTATATAATCTAGACATGTTGCGATGGAGGTAACACCATAAGGCCCAATATTTTTTTAGGCCATTTTTTTTTCTTGATTTAATGATCAAATTAGTGATTCGAAATTCAAGTGGAAAGGAAATGGGTGTTCATGAGTTTTTAGTACCTCCTTAAATAAACAAAGTTTATCGACCACTAAATTAAAAACGCCCCATTTCTGAAAATTTTCATAAATAAAAAAGTTGCAGTGTAAAATAGTGAATGAACCCATTCACAAAGTTTTAGACAGATGTTAATTTAATAAAATAAGATGAAGCCAATCACAAATTTTTAGATGGATGTTAATAATTAAATAAATGGGGGTCTCAACTATGGACTATAAGTACAAAAAAAAAATTGAAGCTGCATATTATTATAAAATATATTATTAGTATTCTGTTATACAAATAAAACCAAACATCAAGTATAAAAATAGTGAAAAGTTAGGTTGAATGCAAATGTGTGGAGTGGAGACCATTCCATGATATATTTTATATCCACACATAAAAACAATAAAATAAACTGGGATTGATAAATAATTAAAAATCACATAAGAGGGTGATTGAATGAGTCAAGTTTAAAGCTGTTTTTTTCTTTTTTAAATTATTAAGTAACTTATGAAATATAAATTATATTCTTATATATATCTTATATATTTCGCATAACTTTAAATAATTAAATGATAAAAAAGAAAAAAAAAATTGATTTATTGGATAAGTTTGAAAAT